AAATTTACCAAATTGCGACGTTTACAGAAATAACAAAAACATCCGTCCGCCTCCAGATATCTACCTCGGCACTTTGGGTGGGAGCCAAGCACGATAACCATTCGGCCACGGGCGCGCTTGATTGCAGGCACGCGTGGCATTACTTCCCCCTTTAAAAAGAGCATCGTCCCGATGCAACGTGCAAGGAACCAAAACGAAGACAAGCAAACAAAATAATGGGAATCTACGGAGGCTTTAAGAACAAAGTGCAGGTTGATCGATGGGCAAAAAACCGGTTCACAGTCCTACCGAGCGTAGTGCGGCTCGAGGCGCACGACGTGGACGACTTCCGGTCGTGGAGGGCGGTGTGATGAAGTACGTGTTCCGTCGAGCATCACCTCGTTGTTCAAATCTCCGAGTCAACGAAGTACCTCGTAAGGTCCGAGGTACCGTTTCAGGAGTTTCTCGCCAAGACCGTGGCGGCGAATCGGTGTCCACACCCACACCCTGTCTCCGGGCTGGAAGTCAACGTCCCGACGACGAAGGTTGTAGCGGCCAGCGTCAACACGTTGTTGGGCTTGAATCCCGAGTCTGGTGAGCTGGCAGAATTCTACCCGTTGAGCAACCACCTGGGCGTCGTCGCTTCCGTCGACAGCCGGTTCGTGGGGTAACATCGCGTCCAACATTGTCGTCCCTTTGCGACCATGAACCAATTGAAATGGTGTCGCCCAGGAGGTCTCTTGCACGTCCGTACCGTAGACAAACGTGACGTAGGGCCACACCTCGTCCCATGTCTTGTGCTCTACGTCGACGTACATGAAGATCATGACGGCGATGGTCTTGTTGAGTTGCTCTGGCAGCCCGTTGGTCGGGGGTGGTGACGATCGCTGTGTGGCTGAGACGAAGAATTTCTTGCGTCAGCTGCCTCGATCTGTAATTAAACCTTCCCTCGACCCTCGATCTGTAATTAAAACTTCGGGAGCGCCGTGCCTAAGGACGATGGACTTCATGAAAAAATTTTGTTTCAGCGTATCGTGTAATATAATTCGTGGAAACGATTATCCTCCGGTTTCCTTGCGTCGATGGTGGGAGAGGTCCAAGCAAGTCCATTTCGATTTGCTGTAACGAGGAAGTTAACAGCGGAATCGGCTGAAGAAGTCCCGACGGCTTCGTGGGCGGTTTCTTGCGTCGTTGACATTCACGGCATGATCCAGTGTAGACATGAACGGGCTTCGGCAGTTTGGGCCAGAAGTATTTTTCACGAATTATGGTTAATGTCCTGCATGCTGTACTCAAGGTGCCCCGCCGTCGGGTCGTCATGGCATCTTTGGAAGATCTCTGCTCGAAGGCTGAAAGGAAAAACCAGCAGCCAGCTAACCAGCAACCACGCTGTGTTGTTGCCGCCGAAGCTCTCCTTGTACAGCACCTTTGTCGAAAGGAGAAGGTAGGCAGGATTCGTAATAATGATTGGGGTTGTGTGGACAGTGTTGGCGTTTGGCCGAGCGGGACTCCAGGTTACGGCGAGAAGACAAGATGGCAGCAGGGCAGACTGACTTTTTAATCCAGGCAAGCTCGCCGACAGACGAAAACCGAAGAACAATACCGGCGGCGGCGCGACCGACTTTTATCGGCTGCTGCCAAGAACAAATGAAAGAAAAGTGCGATGCCGAAGATGTCGCTTTTGGCGCGGCGGCTATCAACATTCGCGCGTCCTTGCTGCGCTCACGCGTGACAACGCAACAATAGATATACAGCGCGTAGTCGGTCAGCCATTTCAAAGTTGCGACGAGTCACTTGCTGCAGATGAGCCATTTAGCCAGTGCAAGGGCCCTAATCTGGACACTTGGCGGAAAAGTAGGCGAGAAATTCGGCGGCTATGATTGGCCGGCGCCAAGGTCAAGTGTGGCATTGGCCAAGCACGGCCGCCAGATTTCTCGCCGTCGTTTTCGCCAAGCGTCTAGCTTAGGGCCCCAGTACAGCCGCTAGCCTGGGGTCTTTAACGTGCACCACGCAGTAGTGATACACGACCGCACGCCGGCACGATGCTCACCCATATCGAGACGGGCAGGGGTGGGGATTGAACCCAGAATCCATGGGTTCTGCGGGGCGAGCTTTCGCTTTACGTGCTCCGAGGTGATGTGGCAGGATTCGTAGAAAAGCACGGGAAGCCTACTCTCTTGTCCCTCTAGGTGAGTGCTCGCAGTTCAGGGTAGTGTCGTTGGAATGCTGCCGTGTCGCTGACATGCAGAGCGCAGAGGAAACTTGTCGTTGTCTCTGGTGCAGGCAGGACCGGACTCCACAGGGGCCTTGACAGGCAATCGGCGTCATTGTGCTTCCGGCCGGACTTGCACACGCCGGTCGTGTCGAACTCCTGCAGTCATAGGCTCCACCGGGCGAGGCGTCCGGAGGGGTCCTTCAGATTCGCTATTCAGCAGAGCGAGTGGTGGTCCGTGACCACGCGAAAAGGACTTCCATACAGATTCGGGCGGAACTTTGTTATTGCCCAGACGACAGCAAGCAAGGCACTCATTTTCAGTCGTTGACTAATTTCTCTCTGCGTTAGACGGCGTCCGACTTGCGTAGACGACGACTCGCTCTGCCCCGTCCTGCCTTTGGGCCGTGTTTACCTGTTTCAACGAACTGGTCGAAATGGCCAAGAATCGGAGGCGCCTGGAATCTTCGTTTGAGCTCATCAAACGACCGCTGGTGTTCTTGTGTCCACTAAAACTTTACGGCGTCCTTCATGGGGTGCGTCAGCGGCGCGGAAAGTTTGGCGAAGTCCCAAACAAACGACCTCCTTGTCAGTAAATGAGGATACGGCGCGCGTGTTCTCGGGGTCAGAGCGAACACCTTCGTTGTTCATGACGTGACCAAGGGACTTAAGTTCAACATAGGCGAACCGACAGTTTGTAGACTTGAGTGACAGGCCGGCGGTCTTGATGGCTTGAAGCACGGCTCGAAGTCGTCTCAGGTGTTCGTCAAAATCCCGTTAAAGTACCATGACGTCGTTAAGGTAGAAGAGGCAGCAAACACAATTTTTTTTTTAAATTGTCGCATTCTGTTAGGACTCTCTTTACATGTAAAACACACAAAACGCCCTCGAGTGTCCGTGATACAATTTTTTGTTTTTATATTGTGGAGTAGCACCTTGGCACCAGAAAGATCAGCTTTCTTTGTGTACGTTTCAAGAACGTCGGCGCTCAAAAAAGAAAAAAAAAGTGGGTACTTGATTTTGTCTGTGTGCCGCGTTATTTGTTTGTTTTAGGTGTATATCAAAGTCCGTCTCGTTCTTCTCTCTTCGCAGAGTCCGTAGACACATCCTCCTGCCTAATACAATACAAATCCGTTCCCTTCAGAATTTGGTATTCTTTTATTATTTTTTTTCTGGAACCCGTGACAGTCAACCAGAGCGAATCCCTACTGTCAATATATTTCTAATTCTTAGGTTATTCGACCTTTTACTTAAATTATGTTTATACATAAGCACGAGAAACGAAAAACACGAGGAGCAAGCATCATTTGAACGAAACAGTGTTCACCTAGCACAAAAGTTTCATAAAGAGGCATACATTTCTGAGCGAAGTGACGAAATGATAATTGAGTAAATGACCCAAGTCATTAATCTATCAATCTGGGCGCAACAATATGTAACGTTTACTGGTTAGTTTGTTAGTCGAGTAATTTCAATTATAATTCATCAATTTGTTTCGAGTAACCGGCACAAAGCTGATTTCAGGAGTTAATATGCACATTGGTGCTGTGGTGTAGTCGATGCTTGATCCAGCCTTCAATTTGCGTATTTTTGTTGAGTAAGACGCGTGCGGCATTGTGAAAGCTACAGAGCCATTTATTGGCACACAGAATAATGCACGAAGTGCTCAATTATACACACATATCCAGAATGCAGGAACTGGAAAGCACTCGCGGGAACCCTTTTTTTTTTTGCATGCACATCTGAATATATTTTTATGTTTTTCTTTATTACAAGTGCCAGGGAAACTGCAAGCTCCGTCGACTATTAAGAACGAACTCTGCTTTGCTGCTACGACGGCGACAGTCGAAAAGATGTCTGTTGACGTGGCAGATGTCGCTCAAGTCGCCAATGTATAAGGACCTTGCACTATAGACATTTGATATTGAGCGTATACAGTATTTTAGAACACCTTAGTAAAAACAGTGTGCGCAATATGGTTTCATTAAAAGCCAGGGTCACACTGCACATACATTACACAAAGGACAGTCTGCAAACACGAGTCATCAGAATATCCGCCGTGCGAATACGTTTGTTGTTGAACTCATTGCAGGCATTCGAAGCACGGATGTCGAGGTGACTCGCATTCGAATCTGTATGCAGACTGTCTTTTCTATGATGTATAAGCAGCGTAACCCCGACTTTAAGGTCTATGGTAATCCAAGTTTTTACTTGATATTTCAAAATGTGATCTGTTTTTCTGGAGCTCCGCAGTATACAGCAAAATACAGGCGTCTCTTGGAACAGAACCGTCGTTGAGCGCGAGCTTGGATTGGAGAGTGGAAGAGCTCTTCTCATGTTCCGACTCGAGCATAGTCTCAACGCCGTTACTACCCGCAACGGTGCAAACATCTTGCGGCACACTTCCGAAGGCAACAAAAACATGAACAAAATGATGAAACGGATATGCTGCATTTTCAATGATACTTCTTCTTTATTTGCCAATATTTATTGCGCAATAATAAAGACTCGAATTGTCACTACCTGTTTTTGTACGCTATTCTTTCAGAAGTTGTAAATAGAGAGAGCATGAACTAACGTTCTGGACAGCGCCTCTACTCCACCAAGGAAATACAGAGATCACGCATACACACTGAGAAATCTGGAACGTCTACTTCCCCGCAAAGCCAATTGCTGTAATTTTCGGAGGGAACTCTGCGAATGATGAGGTTGTGTCTGGACCTGAAAAGATAGACTGCGCAGCTTCACTGCGCATGACGTAAGCAAGTCAAACGACCTGCTCAATGTCGCTGTGCAGTCTGTATTTTCAGGTCATAACATATTTACGCCAATTCGTTCGCCAAGCCCCACCCTTAGATTGCAGCGATTGGCTCCCCCAAGTGCCTGACGGTAAAGTAGACGCACTAAATTGTTTGGGGTGTATATGAGGGTGTCAGCCGAACACCCAGGGAGCAAAAGAAAAAAATCCTATATTTATAGGAGTTACGTGACTCCTATGGTGTTAAAGTGCTCCACTGGACCGGGGAATTGAGACTCCCTGGGAGCCGTAAAGGCTCCCAGGGAGTATGCCACCCATAATATGGGGAGTCGTGTGAACTCCAGAGTTTTGAAAAAAGGCGTTAAACAGCACCCATAATAAGGGGACTCGAGTAAACACCCGGGAGTTAGAAATTGAGTCAAGCAACACCCCTAATTAAGGGGATCACTCGAAGCCCTAGGCGTAACATAGGGCGCTGAAAAACGCACTTGGTAGGATGTGTCGAATGAGTCGGGGGGGGGGGGGGGGGGGGATTCGAGTGATGTGCTAGACTTTAAGTACTCCCCATATATCTGGAGTACTTGAAGTCCCCGATTTAGTGGATCACATGACTCCCCAAGGAGTTCTATATGGGACATCGGTTGACTCCTCTAAAAAGAGTGCCCGTGTATACTTTTTTTTTTAGAATGTGCGTTCTTAAAACATGCTTCGACGAACATAGTGCCAGTGGTCGTCGGGGTCCGGGCGGGAGGTGTGCGACGGGTATCTTCCGGGACGGCGGTCGCCGGAGAAAGCTCCGGGTTGGGCGCGTGACGTGGAGGGCTCCGCGTGAGCTGCCAAATCATCCTGCAAAGAGGCAGAGAAGACAAACGTCAGACGCTTTCCCAGTTGTTGAAGTCACAGCCTCAGATACGCAGGACATGTCGAAGATCGTATTATTGCTCGGCAGCCAGTGCGATTAAGGCCTATAAGAAGCCCAACAACCAATCACAATGGAAGAAGCGTGCGCACATCACAAGTCCGTGTTTGCGGGACGTGCCAGCTAGGCTAAAGTGGCACGCTTGTTAACGAACTTCACACTTTCTCCCTACCACTCGGGGGGGGGGGGGGGGGGTCGCTGCGACGTCGCCCCCTCCTACAGCGCTTTAACACGTTCTAAAGAGGCACCTCAAAACTCGCCGTGTTGGCCTCTTCCCTCCGGGGTCGAACTGAAAGAATTTCCAGACTAGTTTTATCTACGGGCCAGCGTGCCGCCTGCCAGTAGGAACTTACGCGGAACACCTCTTCCCCTTCGCCCTTAAAAAAACAACCCTCCATACGCAAGCATTTATCAATCGTGAGCCAAATAATTTTCAATAGGCACACGACAGGTATTCCATTTGAGTACAATGGAACACATTTCAATCACGCAGGTCGGAACGGTTGTCTAGGGTGGTTAGGGAAGTGCTATAGAGCTTTCCAAAAAGGAAAGTTGGCCTGGTTAAGGGGGGGGGGGGGGGGTATGTTTATACAGCCTAGAACTTGGTCTGCCTCAACCGACGACGACTCACCCGCTGTAGATGAGCAATTTAGCCAGTGCAGTACAATCGCAAACCTGGGGTCTAACGTGCCCCACGACCGTACGCCGGTACGATGCTCATCCAGATCGAAACGGGCAGGGGTGGGGATTCAACGCAGGATCTCTGCTGCCTGGTTTCATTTTCAGTGTTTGTGCGTGTGACGTGTGATTTGCTGGCTTTTCGAAGCGGCGAACATGCGCGTGCTAAGCTGAGGAGATCGCACGCTGGGCTGTCTCCTCAACCCAGCACGCGCGTGTTCGTCGCTTCGGAAAGCCAGCAAATCACACGCCACACGCACAAACACTGAAAATGAAACCGTCCCGGAGCCCTTATTGAGAAGTTCTATTAGCGACGTGCGCGGCCAAAAGCGTCGCTGTAGTCAGCTTTCCACGATTGGTCAAACCATGGGCATATGAGCACTGTCAGATTGTCAACTTTGATGGTGTTAGTTTCGGACTGCGATGGCTCCTAACTTCTACTGTCTTTTTAAACACACCATCGAACTCGTCGTCGCACCCGATGGTAAGTAGCCAGAAACACAACTGGTGACGTCACGGCGAGGCAAATCCCAGTCGTGACGTCACGGAGAGAAACCATAAGAGGGCGCCACCGAAACATCTCGGCGCTAATAGACCTTTCCAATGCTTACAAAATCACAGTCCAGCGTGCGCTCTTCACAGCCCAGTACGTGCGTGTTCGTCGCTTCGGAAGGCAACCAAAGCACGCGCCATATGTACGAACATTAAAAATGGCACCGGTCACACAATCTTTTTCGGCTGCAGTCTCAATAGCTGAGACTGCAGCCAATGCTGCTAGCACGAGAGCGGGCTAGCTCGCGCTTGTAGCGTTTGTCTCCCCCCACACACACTCCCCTCTCGCCTCCCCGCGCCGCTATAAATAACAATTCTACTGTTTTTAAGAGCGGACGGAGGCCGTAAGAAAAACCGCTGTCTAGCCCAGCCGCGGAACCGATAAACCCCGAAAAATTAAATTAAACCCCGAGCCGCTGTGATAAAAACCGAGGTAAACCGAAAAACTCAGAATTGGAGCTCTCCCTGGATAAGAGCAAGCGCAGTTCACCGTTAACAAATTTATATCTACGGTCTTCTTGTTTGTACGCCGAGCTAGATCCAGTGTTGTAGGCATTACAGGGGGAAAAAAAACAACAACAACAAAATACGTTATTCGTACTTGGAAATAACAAAAAAAAAAAAAAAAATCGCCGGCACCCCGACCTACGTAATTCCAAAACCAAAAGAACGTGTTACCGCTACCAATAAAAAGTAACGTACGTTAGCTTTGCGTACCTTTTTATTTATGAATAGACCGATCTCACCAAGCGTTCTGCGCATGCGCGAGGCCGCCATAACTTTAGTTCACAGGAGGTAGGCGGCAGTGCCCGAGAGGACTCGTGCAGTCCCGTGCTCTACACGCGCAGAGCTCCAGCGAGATTGTCAAGTTCCTTTAAAGTATTGCGGAAGCGGTGGCGCAGGCAAAATGGCTGATGAGATCGGTCTATTAAGCCTGTTTCAGACAGTTGCGTTTGACTGCGTTGCGGCTGCCAGAAACCAGGACATCCCTGCTGCTTATATCGCGTGCCAAGATGATTCTGTGAATTAGATTCCACGCTTCACACGAAGCACAGATGTGCTGGTGACTCGCTTTCGGTTTTCGACGCAACGCAGTCAAACACACTCAAACACAGGTGTCTGAACCGGCCTTTAGAACGTTTTACCATTTTGACGCTAGAAAAATGCATAAGCCCAATATTTCAAGACACATTATGTCCATCCAGAAACCTAGTAAGATTACCTTATCTTTTATTTACGGCTTCAGCTAAAAACTCGCAAAGAAAACGCGAAAAACGGAAGAATTCGTATGAGTTCGTGTCCAGCACCACAAAGAAAAGTTGGATTGCAATTTTTGTTTAAGTATTGGTGAGATGTAAAGAATAGCGTACGAAATGGAAGCTTGTGCGTGTTGGTAAGGCATGATGACTAAAACGTACGGCGCACAGACAGGACAGAAGGGGCACACAATCGCTGAACTTACAACTGAAGTTAAAACACCAAGGCCCAACGTTGTATTCGACGACCAAAACAGAGAAAACACACACACCCAATGACCACGCTAGTAAATTTCAGTACCCTAATCGCGATCAGCAACCTAATCGCGATCGTGCAAGAATTGTAACTCTTTACCCTATAACAAAAAGGATGGGGCAATTACACAATCTTCCTTTAGGTACGCAATCATCGCCGCTTCGATGATTTCAATGGTCAGGGCATTGCCGCTTCTTCCAATGACTGACATGTTCCAAAATCAGCAGCACACCCACATTCACGACAGTTAATACACGATACCACCATGGTTACATTTAAGGCCGGTTCACACATGCAGCAGAGCGCCAAGTTAGCGCTACGTGAGCGCTCCAAGCAGCGTTCATGTGGCGCTCCTTGGAGCGCCACATGTACGCTTCAGAACGCACATGTACTGAAGCGCTCGGTTAGCGCTTCAGTAGCGCTCTGTTAGCGCTTCAGAAGTGCTTTTTTAGCGCTCTGTTAGCGCTACAAAAGCGCTCTGTTAGCGCTCTCATGCACGCTCCTTGTGCCGTGCTTGCTGCTGCGGAACAGCACGTGCACGGCGATTCCTTTGTTGTTGTTTTTCCTTTGCATTGAAAGAAGAGGAAGTAAAACAGCCGCTCTCCTAGCAAAGGGCCGGGCAGGCAATCCAGAGTCATGGACTCTGAGCGACTAATTGATTGGGTACGACCTCATCGCTTTCTATTCGATATGCGTGACCCTGGTTTCAAAGACACGCAGTTAAAAATAACCACCTTCGAAAGAGCTCTGTGTCTCGGTCCCTCAGCCTAGGAACAAGGTTTACTAGGTACCTGTCGGTATCTCGGTGGCGAAAGATGTCGCGCACCCAGAAGGCTCTTCTGGGCGTTAAGCCGTCCACACACATATGCACTAACCGCGTATCTCAGAGCATTGGTCGCATTTCTATTTCAGCATCCTACATGTCCGCCATGGTCCTGCTGATTCCCACCCAAGCACAGGAACCGGAACCGCAGTGCACGCGCTAATCCGCAGCACCGCGGTACAAGAAGCGCTACTAAAGCGTTAACAAGGCGCTACTGAAGCGCTAGCAAGGCGCTACTGGAGCGCTAACAAAGCGCTACTGGAGCGCTAACAAAGCGCTACAGAAGCGCTAATCGCGCGCTGTGTTAGAACTAAGTCACGCGCCAGAAAGCGCCACATGAGCGCTCCTTGGAGCGCTCACGTAGCGCTAACTTAGCGCTCCGCTGTATGTGTGAAGAGGCCTTTATAGTGTTTCCTTAAAGGGATACTACAACAAACTTTCGGCATTTCTTTTTTTTTTTGTTTTGAGGTCTATACGTGTTCAAAGGAGCAGTATGACATAGGACACACCAATATCTCGTTAAAAAAAGACACGAAAAGGAATTTTAAAACAAAATAAACGATCTGCAAAGAATACCTGGTAGATGTCGCTAAAGTCCTTGGTCCTGTCTCGCTTCCTCGTGTTCTCGTTTTTTAGGCGCTTCACAAGTTAAACATGTACCAACTAGCCCACCTATCTATTTTACTGTGCTAAAGCCTCGTTTGTAATGCCGTCTCCGGGAAAGGTACTCAAGTAGTGCGCATGAAAAACACATAAAAATGTGCTACTCCGCACGTTTCGTGGCCGAGTGGTACAAGGAGCTGCTCTGGCGATAGCGACGTCTCGGTGGCGGTGGTTCGAATCCACTTCAAGCGCAAAGGTTTTTTTCCTTTTTTTTCGACGTATTTTTTGTGCGAAATTGTGCGCATTGCGGAAGTGTATAATTTCAATTCCTATTCTCTTATTGTTTTTATTTATAAGGCGGTAGACTAGGGGCTGGTGTTCCGTTTGAACCCCGCACCGGCCTCGTCAAAACGGAAGAACGGTCGAGATCCAGGGCGTCTCAATTTAAAGCCGTTTATTTACATGGTAGCGTGAAAATCAGAGAGTACCTTGAGAGTGCGGTGGACGGTCCTTTATACAACGAATACTGGAATTAGAGGACCGCACTGCCATTGGTCAGACGGCTTGGCATTCCCTCGCGTGATGGGACTTCATGGAAGTTTCCTTCAGAGTCCAAATACTCGCCGGTGTATGGAAGTCATCCAGACGGCAGTATCTCGTTGCTCTGGTGCCGGCGTTCCCATGAACCGGGAGTAATTCACAATAGACGCGTACACAACACACGGCACTCGAGAGCAGGATCGAGTGTTGTTTCCTTTTCCGAGGAAAGCAGGGGCCTCGGAATACAGGCACGGGCATGTGCGTCGTCCACTTAACCGACCAAGGTTAAGGTGCCTCAGGCAGACGGAGCAGACCGAGGTTACGGTCCCGCAGGCAAACAAACCCAGACGCTTCGGAATGCAACCACGGGCATCGTCCGCTTAGCCGATCAAGACGAAGCCGTAGGCACGATTCATCACCGACACGGTTCCTTCTTGAGGCTTGATTCACTTTGAAGCCACAAGGCCGATTTTAACACCAGAAGTAACAGAAGGCAGTTCACAACACGGTCCGCGTGCTCGAAACTTTCACGTTGCGAGGTCCTCGCTTCGGGGACGCCACCTTGCCAGACACTCCGGTGTCGTTAATGACCGTCTCCAGGACTTCACGGACCGACGTCTCCGGGAAACGCGTTCTTGGACTCGCGTACACGTTGGCGATCACCTGCTTGAACTTTTTCGAGATCTTCACACAACGAATCTCCGAAAATATCCGAGCAGGAGAGGAAAGCTTCCCTGCGTAAGAGGCCATCTTCTCAAAACCGGCAAGGCAGGGGAAGCCGCATAACCCGAAAACCCGAAGCGACTGCCGCACGGACGAAAACGGAGAACAATTTGAACTTTGGAGTAGTTTACCTTATCTTTTCCTTTTTATTGAAAAAAAATCGGTGTTTTGTCGATATCATAACGCCACTATCAGTTACTAGCTCCAAAAATGCACATTTTACGATTTTTTTTTTCTTGCATGGGTAGCACTATTTTATGGGGCGAACGTAGGCGGTCGGCAGTGCAAACCGGTGCGCTAGCTTTGACTGCGTTGCACGCTATCTATGAAACGGAGTATAGGAAACTTCACAGGTAGTGGCGATAACTGTCTGGCCAAGAACTATAGGCTCCTTGCACTGACGTCACATCGCATACTTTTGAACACCATGTAAGAGGAGGAGAGGGAAGCTGTTTCTGTAAGAATTTTGAGTGACAGTTTAATCTTCTATAATCTTCTGGGAGGAGAATAGCGACGCTTGTGCAAATCCGGGAGGCACAAAGGAGGATCCTGATAAGACGGGAGCTCCTTCTTCCCCTTTTCTCTGGAGGTCATCGGAAATGACGTCATGCGCAACAGCTCTACGGCCAGCACAAGAAAAGAGGGGAGAGAGGAGCTCCCCACTCAACGGGACTCTCTTCTGTGTGTCCCAGAGGTAGCTATTCTCCCTCTACAAGATTCTAGAAGATTAGCCCGTCACTCAAAATTCACGCAAAAGCAGCTGTGACAAGTATGTAGCGCCCCCTCCAGTCCACCCGTCTGTGGCCGCCAGGCTCTGCGGGCAACATTGATCACCGCAGCAATAAACGCGGTGGAGCTCACGCCGCCCCGGTCAGTAATCGTTCACCCCCACGACCAGGCTGCAAGTCGTCTCTTCTCGGCGGGTGCTTCGGCCCCCTTCGTTCACGTTCTCGAAAGATCGTGAGAGCAGCTTTGCGGTTAGTTTTGGTGGCCGGATCGCTGGCGTGCTTCGACCGCTTCGGTGGCTGGAACGGCTAGGACATCCTATCGACATCAGCCTCGCCGCAGGTTTGCTCATCGCGAGACAAACTACGTCGCTATTGCACCGGATGTGACGTGCATTCTTCTGGCTGCTCTCCTAGCGCTTGCCGGAGTGGCCGTCTATATAACGGAAAATACGGCCATTAGGCTCAAAATACAAACTTGCGATTGCCACTGATGGATATTGTGGATCATATTCGGCCTGTTTCTGAACACCACGGATATATTTACAATTTCGTTGAAGTATCCCTTTAATCAATCGTTCAGGCATCTGCAATTTTTCCCTTAGTACTGTTTACGACAGGAAAGCGGAATGGAACACAACTTCTTTCTGTGCATTCAACATACCGATTTTGATGCTTCTTAATTAGCACGGCTGAGAGACTCCCCAACTGTATGATTAACGTTTCTAAAAAGCTTAGACAACTTGTTAGAGGCAGAGAAGTATGATCAAGGTACCTACGTTACAAGTTACTCGCAATAAGTAACATGAGTACGTCATGCATTACTTTGTTGGAAATGTAACGACTGCCCTACTACGTTACGGAAAAAATAGCGCGTTACCGGTAACGCCGTTACTTGTAACGTGTTACCGCCATTACTGCCTGGAGTCCGTACTGATTCTTTCCTTTTCGTTTCCTTCCCTTCTCAGTACCGGGACGAGTGTCAACTGTCCATGGTCACGCGCACCTTCCCTGGGGTTCCCATGCCTGTGTCCTGTCTGTTTCAACATAGAAATCCCAATAAACACAGATTTTTTTGGACCAAGACTTAAAATCGACACCGGAAATTGCCGAATCATGGCAAAAATAAGCCCCCAGAACAAATCTTTCGATACAAAGACACTAAACCCGGAACTTGTAGGACGGTCCCGTCGCGTAGGTCGTACAGAAACTGCCTGCAGACGCGTTTGTACATGCGCATGAAGTCAACATGCTTCGAATACGCGTGAGACGTGTCCGCGTACAATTATGTCATCCTGCCTGCAGCGCGTCTATCGTATGAGCGCTGTGACTGATACATCATACAGTCTGCTGAGAGGCGTGCTTCTTACTGCCATTGGTTATAGAAAAACTGTCTGGAGACATCCTGTGCATGAAGAAACATTTGTCGAAGATCCTCGAGGCGTGGTGGCGGCTAATTCCGCCCTCCTGTCTGCAACGAACGCTGTTTTATGCACTACGAGCGAAGGGCTTAATTATCTGCCACGCTCTAAGTTCCCGTCCGCACGTCACAAGCACGATCGCAGCCTACGCTACAATCCCAACGAGCCCACATCGTGACGGTACGTGACACCTATATGTGACTTGGCATCATGACGTCACGCCAAGGCTTTATACACGGGCGAAACCTTCGCAATTCGCCTTTCAGTACCGTTCATATTTCCCCGCCGAAAGAGGAGCCATTTAGAACGCCCTTAAAGGATTCCGAAGAAACTTTTTTTTTTTCGCTCACGTTTAGAAACATGTAGAGGCAACCGCACGAGAAATGTGACTGTTACTCACGGCGAACCGGACGGAGGAGACCCGACCGAAAGAGGCGTTCAGGGACCTGGTGGTCCGCTCGATCCCCTGGGCGAGATCGCAGTCCAGGCGAGGCGGAGGACGTTGAGAAGCCACGTCCACCCAGCCGACTTGGGGCGGGGATCTCCAAGGCCCCCATGTCGACGCAGGCTCCGACGCGCCGAGGAACCTGGACGAAACCCCAAACGCCGTGAGGAAATTCATATATTTTTCTGGTTTCGCAATAGAGTCTGCACCCGCGGTCCGGATGGTCTTAATTCGGTTGAAGAAGTGTATTAACGCAAAGGATTTAAGTGCTGGGATGCCCGAGAAAAGTGTGACCGGAACGCGACGAAAACCCCCAAAAAAACATTTGTAGCACGTGCTCCAGAGGACAACCAGTACAAAGGAACACGTTATTGAGGCGAAAGAGTAAGAAATTCGAAAGAAGTAACAAAATTCTGCAAGCGCCCCGACGGAAATCAAACCCACGACCCCAAGGTTTTGAGCCCGAAACTCTACCAGTGCGCCAAAGGGGCAGAGGTGAAGTGTTGGCGACTAATGGCGCGTTACACCTGCGGATTCGGGGGCAAATCCGCGCACGCGGATCTGCGCAGGCGGAAGGTGGGTTTTTGAGCAGGGTGGGGAAATGCGCTTGTCACTGGCGGGAAATCTGGGTATATACGGGTCCCGGACTGATCCAGATTTTCTGCCAGCGACGACTGGATTTCTACACCCGGTTTCCAGATCCACTTTCGCCTACGGAGATTCGCCCGCAAATCCACAAGCCCTAGTGAAAAAATCAGTTGTATGAGAAATTTCTCGTGTCCAATAAACAGATATGAATCATTCAAGATATATAAGAACATATAACAACCATATAAGAACTACATAAGAACTATACAGGAACTACATGAGCTATATAAGAACCAGATAAGAAACTTATAGGAACTACATAAGCTATATAAGAACCAGATAAGGAACTTATAAAAAAACTTCACAGAAGTTTCTTATATGGTGCTTGTATGTTCTTATGTATCTTATATAGTTCTTATATGGTTCTTTTATGGCTCTTATATGTTCTTATACATCTGGTATGATTCATATGTGTTTATTGGACACGAGAAATTTCTCATACAAATAAGAATTTTAAATAGCAAGTCTAAACGCGCATTGAGGGGCAGTGACCAACGCGAAAGCCGGCGTTTGGTGTTTAAACGCGTTCAACCACTGAGTGGATTCAGAGACAGCTAGCTTTGCGTCTGTCTACCCACTAATCGTTCCAACCAGAACTTGGTGGTCTCACCCCATTCTCTCCCTCAGATCCTATTCGTACAATCAACCACAACAAAAAGAAAGAACTGCACAGATTGCTACAAGCTTCGAAGGTTACCACTGAAACGTATTCTGTGCATACCGACTTTATCCGTCGGATCAAGATAAATTATGCAATTTCTTGCTTTCTCTCGCTTTTACATTATCGGTGCGGATAATTGCCTGGATAATAATTATAACGTTAAAACCTTTCACTCAAACGCTAAATTGTTTTTGATTGAAAAAATATTTTCAAAATTTTGTTTTGTTTCTATGAATAGTTCGTATGTGGTGCATGGTCCTAGTAAGGTGAGGGCTATGCACCAAGGCGCTGCATAATAGTCCTTACCTGATGCCAAGTTCGTGCGTAAAAATTTATCGCACACAGCGCACCTTGACGAATGTGCCTTATTAGCTCTCAAGAAAGCTCGTTTCATTAATCAATATTTATTAACACACCCTTTTCACGAACTCTGTATCGTCATAATGAAGGATCTAGACAAAACGAATCCCACTGTGCAAGACTCGAGCGTTGCATAGTCCGCAAAATACGGCGCCGATTAAGAAATGTAACCACCTCGATCTTACGTATCCAGTTAGAATTCGCAGAATGCTGACACAGCGGATGTTACAAAGCGACATATAATATTTTCCGCTATGTTTAGCGGACGCTCGGTCACGCGACGTATACTCGCGTGACGCCAATTTCGTTGCCACGTGACGTCACGGCGTCACCTAAAGCCGTGACATCACTCAACGCGATAACGTAACAGTGGCGCCACGTGAAACTATGTCACGTGACTTTACGTCATGTCCACCGTTCCTATATCAATTCAGTTACGGAACTGGCCGTGAACGCTGCTTCCAGGTGCGGTACTCCCCATCTTCCCCCACGGCCGCCTATACCGTCGTTCCACGCGTCACCGTTTCGGGTACGGCTGCTACGGCAACTGCATTTTTTTCTATGGAATACAGATGTCTTGAAACGAGATTATAGATAATCTATTAAGGTATGTTGTTGGGATAGTTGGTTCATCTTAGTTAAACATATAAAATAGAGAAAAAAAGAAGACAGGGACACAAAGTAAACGGGACGAGCGCTAACTTTCAACTATTTTTACAGGGTAAAAATGGCTTAAAGTTAGGGCTTGTCTTGTTTACTTTGTATCCCTCTTTTTTGCGTTATTTTATGTTTAACTTAAATTCTAGATTGCGCTTCAAACAACGAGAGTCGGACTAGAGGGGGAAAGGGGCCTATAACCACCTCTGCGAGAGTTCCACAACTGAGCTAATTGATCTAGTACCGTTGTCAACGTCACGTTGGCACGTGACTGCCTAATGTGACGTGCAGCGTTTAAGTCACTTCACATGAACGCGTAACAGTCGCTCAAACCACGTGATCTCCGTAAGCCCGTGTAAATATAATGTCGTGATACATTTTCGTGACGCTCTAGACTTTAAAACCAGGCCATACAATTTACCTGAGTTAAAGCTGCCGTGCAAGAATATTGGGCTGGAATGTTTCTGATTGTACACACGTTTCCTGTCACTATAGCTGCAGCCTGGTAACAGGTTCAGAACAACAGTTTTTTTTAAATTTTTTTCACAGGGTAAAAATGCCTCCAGGACGCACTCGTTGCATTCCGTATGGCTTCGGCTGCGCCTGCGACGAAGCGTTATCAAAGGCGGAAAGGTCGCACTGAGGCGAAATAACTACTCAATCGTCGCCCAGGCATTGATTATACTTTGGAAGGAGTGCCAATCGAACGTGTGATTGAAAAAAATTGGGTTGTGTGTGTGTTTATACAGCCTAGAACTTGGTCTGCCTCACAGGGGCGACGAGTCTCCCAGCTGTAGATGAGCAATTTAGCCAGTGCAGTACAATCGCTAGCCTGGGGTCTTTAACGTGCACCACGCAGTAGTGATACACGACCGCACGCCGGTACGATGCTCCTCCAGATCGAAACGGGCAGGGGTGGGGCTCGAACCCAGGATCCCTGGGTTCTGCAGCGCGAGCTTTCGCTCCACGTGCTCCGAGCTGATGTGCGCTAGACCAAACGTGTGATTGTTTGAAAGGATCTCGGCGTGAACGTTGAAAGCGCGCTATTGTTCAATGCTCACCTGCCATTTATTGTTAGCAGAGCAGTGAAAATGCTCAGTTAAATATCTCGCCTGACTTAATAATTCAGAGACACCGCTTCCTCAGTTCGATCGACGCTTCTATTCGCTTCAATGATTTGGAACTCGCTAACAGCTACGCAGTCATCGAGCATTGAATCTGTGCAAAAGCGATTGATACGTCTTGTGTGCGACGGACACTTCTAGCGTCGTTTTCATTATAGTTATGATTTTCTTCCGAATAGTTTTAATTCGCCTTTTGTAGAATAAAAAAACTCAATCGTGATATTTTTTCGTTTGTTTGCACAGCGCTAATGGTGCGTTTGATTGGGACCTACTTTAGAGCTGTATCGGTTTCCATGTCCCTTCACGCGTTACTAAATATTTTACCGAATTTTACGTTCGTTCTATCTGTAAAGCCTCGCCAATGTCACGTGAACAGATCGCATTTAATGGGATTGCATCATCTCGCATAGACACATTAAGTGATCAGGCACTTTTCCGAAACGAGCTGATGTGTACAATAGCAAGTATGTCGTGTTTCGTACGAAGCAGAACAATCTTTTTTTGTGCGTGCTATTCGAATTTTTATATGATTTCTGTTTGGTGAGAATTGTTATTACATTTGCGCACCAAAGGGAAGACCCAGATATGGTTGTGTTTGGAGAAAAAAAAATATTTTCTGTTTGATTTTTTAAAAGCAGCATCTTCATCAATGTTCTCTTCATCATACAAGCAGATGTCTTTGATGTACCCATGTCTGTATCTGGTTTTGTGTGTTCGTGCAAAAAATAATACTAATATTAATAATAATAATAATGATGATTATTTGTATTATATAGGGTGGTTCAAGTCAATAGGCTCGATCTAAAATGAACCGTAAAAATCGACGCCTGCACGTAGCCATCTAAACTTTTCGCCAAAGGTGTAATCCACAGGTCGGTGTTTTCTTGTAAAATTACGAAGCGTAGTTCTCTTTCTGTAAAAAATAGGGCCAAGAAACTTGCCAGGGTCTACGGCGGGCGGCGACCCAGACAACCAAGTCCAGTAGCGGGGTGTGTTTGGCGTTCGTATTGATAGATGGCGACAGGAGCAGCGTCTGAAGGTGCAGCCGACCAGCGAAAGATAGCAGACGACACGCAGACGAAATCCGTTGGTAGCAAAAGCGCCGGCGTTATGCAGACGCGTTTTTTTTTACTTTAAGTTTTGCTTTTATTGTTTGCATTTATTTTTTAACCGAAGGTTAATTTCAAACGGATTATATTCATTTTAATAACAAAAGGTGGTCGCGAGCCGTCGCGATAAGGAGGTAGCGCCATCTATGAATACGAACGCCAAACACACCCCGCTACTGGACCCCTGTCGTCTGCGTTGCTACCCGCCGTAGACCCTGGCAAGTTCCTTGGACTTATTTTTTACAAAAAGAGAGCTACGCTTTGTAATTTTTCAAAAAAAAAAAAAAAAAAAGCCGACCTGTGAATTACACCTTTGACGAAAACTTTACATGGCTACGTGCAGGCGTCGATTTTTACGGCCCATTTTAGAGCGAGCCTGGTGACTTGAACCACCCTATACTTATAGAGGCTGTAATACCTGTTAGATATTGCGTACTATAAATATAACATCACGCATGTCGGAGAGAAGATTGCAGTGATTCTTGGGGATGCGGGAACAACACAGTTCGATGAAGCCATTTTATA